TATTTATCCCTAGAACCCAAACTAGCATCCTTCTCTTGAAAATACATCTGTGACGTAAATCTTTACTTTAACGCTCCATTATTCGAAGGAATGAAAAGTTATTTTCTATTGTTGGACGGCCGCTGTTATAGGCTTAAGATATATCCGTGATATTTTCTGAAAAAGTGTTGGCCAATGGAATCATTGTTTGCCATTAAAAATAAAATAAACAAGAAGTCACAGGCAGTTTTTATTGGCAGACCATTATTCCATTTTTTTAGATGACATTCTACACTAGAAATCAACTATATAGTTAATAAACCACAATTATAAATAATACAGTTACATGACAGAAATGTTTTTTCTATGGCATTGCATCGCTTAATTGTAGACACAGATATTATCCAAGAGGGGAAAGCTAAATCTACATACTGGTATATCATGATATATTAAGATTGTCTTAACTTTCCAGAAGTGGATGTTTTTCTTTGTTATGTTGTAAAATCAACATGTCTCAATAATTAAAATTAACAAATACATATATATATATATATCTTACTTGTTGTAAGTCTCTTTTGTTCATAAGGTCCTGTACTTTTGAAACAGGTATAAATTATTGGCTTTCAATTATTTTTATTTATCATTTTCGGTGAACTTAAATCCAAGAAAGCGCTTCGGAAGGAAAATAAAATTGAGAATGGAAATGGGGAATGTGTCAAAGGGACAACAACCCGACCATAGAACAGACAACAGCAGAAATTCACCAACAGGTCTTCAATGCAGCGAGAAATTCCCGCACCCGGAGGCGTCCTTCAGCTGGCCCCTAAACAAATATATATACTAGTTCAGTGATAATGAACGCCATACTAAACTCCAAATTGTACACAAGAAACTAAAATTAAAAATAATACAAGACTAACAAAGGCTAGAGGCTCCTGACTTGGGACAAGCGCAAAAATGCGGCGGGGTTAAACATGTTTATGAGATCTCAACCCTCCACCTATACCTCTAGCCAATGAAGAAAAGTAAACGCATAACAATACGCACATTAAAATTCAGTTCAAGAGAAGTCCGAGTCTGATGTCAGAAGATGTAACCAAAGAAAATAAACAAAATGACAATAATACATAAATAACAACAGACTACTAGCAGTTAACTGACATGCCAGCTCCAGACTTCAATTAAACTGATTGAAAGATTATGTCTTCATCATATGAATATCAGGCACAATCCTTCCCGTTAGGGGTTTAGTATCATACCATCATAACATATATGAGAAGAATATAACCCGTGTCATGCCAACAACTGGTTTTTGAATAAATGTGTTTAGTGCCGATGCAAAGACCCTATAAGTGAATCAATACTAACGCCAAAATATGCAATCTTTAATGACCTGACAACAGTATCGTAACTATATCCCTTTTTAATAAGTCTATTTAAAGGTTTTGTTAGCTTCAGAGGTGAATACTGACATTTTTGTGCTTTATAAAGAATATTTCCATAAAAAATTGGATGTGAAATACCTGAACGTATAAGAAGTCTGCATGTTGAGCTATATTTACAAATGATGTCCTTATACCGATGATAAAATTTAGTAAATGTTTTGACTAGTTTGTGATATCGAAAACCCTGGTGTATTAATTTTTCAGTAATACATAAATTTCTCTCGTTAAAATCTAAAACATTGTTACATACACGAGCGAATCGTACAAGTTGAGATATATAAACACCGTAAGATGGTGACAAGGGAACGTCACCATCTAAAATTGGATAATTAACGATAGGAAATGAAAAATCATCTCTTTTATCATATATTTTAGTATTAAGCTTTCCGTTAATGCTATAGATATCAAGATCGAGGAAAGGGCAGTGGTCATTGTTAGTATTAGCTTTATTAAAAGTAAGTTCAACAGGATAAATTTCTTTAGTATACATACTGAAGTCGTCATTATTGAGAGCCAAAATATCATCCAAATATCTAAAAGTATTATTAAATTTGTTTGTTTTTCTTTTTTCCCAAGCACCTGAATGATACTGCTTTTGGTTTTCTGCTTGTACGGTAACCAGAGAGTTTTATCAGCCCAGTAGTCAGTGATATGCTACTGGCATGCTTTATAGCAAGCATCCCTTTAATTCGCCGTTTATAAATTTTGAAGTTATTAAGACACTAAAGTTTTGTCTTCAGCAAATTTGATTGTTGTTGGATATGATTATTCTTTTCAGGTCCCCTTGATCATACGCCCCTCAACTTTTCTAGTAGCGCTGGCTTCAAAAAGTTTAATTCTAGCGAAAAAACACTAGTTCATGTCACTTTTTTCAATTTAAAAAATGCAAATGTTAAGCAGCGAAACCTTTATGATACAACAAGCAACTATAGTCGACTCTCGTTAAAGATAATCGGACTGACAAAATGATTTGAGATAACACAAACCTTATTTATCCGGAGTATATAAATGCCAATCTATCAATTGGGGCCAACATTTTACTTTGAGATAGCTGAATTGTTTTTTTATTTTAAAGATCTAGTGTACTTGAAATTTGAAATATTTTACAATGGACGTAAAAACTGTAAATCAGAACAATGTATCGAAAGTCGAAAATGAAAAACGTAATTATGTATGATTAAATTATCATGATCATAGTAAAACATTAATTGAAGGTACTAGTTTAAACTCGCGCCTGCATTGGTTTTATTCTTATGTTTTTGTTATGAAGGCTACGTTAAGACCCACACATAGACAGTCACCCCAACTAAGTACTAAGATGTTCTTATCTTATTTTAAAAAAAAGGCAGTTTCTATTTTGCCGGCTCCGGCAAAAAGGCGATTTGTGTTTTGCTATTTTGCCGGTCTTATTTTATGTTATTTTCAGACTGAATGAAAGAAATTTGTTATTGACAATCGAAAATAGAAGACTACACTTCGTTTTCCAAAAAACAATTAAATAAGCGCTATGTTCAACTAATATGAAGAGCTAAAGCAGACTTTGTAGCTTTTTCAAAAGGACAACTAGGTGCAAGTGTGGAAACGTGATTTAAGGACTTTAAAATTTTTGAAAACTAAAGCACCAAATAAAACCTTAAATAACGATCTAGTCTATGGCGCAATAAAGTACTTCTGTGTTCATGGCGCAAAGACCACAAACAATCATCCACTGGTCAGTCATCATTACATGTACGTGTATGTTCGTGTTTATCTTGCAGCTATATACATTTACGAATGGCGGCACTCATTTGAGATGACAAGCAGCACAAAAACTGACATTGTCAAAACTTGCGAAATTGTCCGTCATTCAAAATCTTCCAATCGATGGAAACATGGGAATGAGTTTTTTCAAGATATTGATTATGACGTAATAACATTAGCATTGTGATATAGAAAATGTATTGGAAACTGCACGAATTTGAAATTATTAAACTATTAAACAATAATACCAATTACATGCTTACAAACTAATTCGGTATGTTTCAATGTGAGTTTAGATAAAAAGCAATGTAAACTAATGGTTTATAAAATTGCAACCGCATAACGCTAAATATCAAAAGACATCGAGGGATAAACGTATAACGGTCTTCAACAAAAAACAAATGTCTGTACAATGAATGCAAATCACACTTAAAACAAGTCTTCATTAGTCTAGAAAAAAAATATGGTGTAGCCTTTACCATAACCGATTGGCGGCAAAAGGGGAATAACTATATTTTATAATTTTTGTTTACCAGTGACGCACAAATTCCAGATTGTCCTTTCTTAACACTTGTTGGTTTATTAATGTCTTTGAGTACGGACATGGAGCAGTGACAAGGACTAATTATGAAATGGAAAGAGTTGTGTGTGTTCAATGTTAATGTACTATGGATTTGACCATTTCCGGATTAAACTCTAATTGGGAGTAAATTTGAGTAGTCTCCCGTTAATAACACTTTGTGTCGTGGTTCAAATTTTTGGAAGCTATATTTTCATCAGATAACAGTAAAAAACAAAAATAAAGTAAATTTCACCAAACTAAAACAAATGTATAACAAAAATACCGAACTAAAAACTGACAAAATCAAACGTTATCAACAAACAAAACGAATGAAAAACAAAATTGTATATGCCAATACCTGGACTTAATTCAAAAAAAAAAATAGGTGATAAGGCTTTAAAATATTTTTTTCTCTAATCTTAGCGGATTAATTCTTTTCCTGGGCCATTCTTTCTTTTTTCTAATCAATTTGTGGTTTGTTTGGTATCAGTTGTTCATTGGTCAAAATTTGATTATTGTGTCATAATTTCTTGCTTTCCTCTGATTTTGTGATTATGACGGCACGAAACAAAGGCGACCATGCCTGATGATGTCACATAGAAAGTGCATCTTTCTGCAGATAATTGAAAAAGAAAGATACCGTTTGCCAACATATCGTATAAGAATTATTCGAGAAATATTCCACAACCCAATCTTGTATAATACGATATCTCTCCATGCACTATCGACAGTTAAATGTAAATGTCTCGAATGTAAAATGTTGTTTATTTTTTTATTGTTTTATTAGTTATCTATATAAAAATAAGGAGATGTGGTATGATTGCCAATGAGATAACTTCAAATGAAGTGGATGTAAACAATTATAGGCAACCGTACGGCCTTAAACATTTTTGTGAGCGTTCAACCCATCAGATCAATATAAATCAGAAACACATCTAACAAAAAACACAGACCGGACGTGGCAGGGTATTTATACATCCCAAACAACAAAAGACACAACATACAGATCTGAGAGTACCCGTAGTTACTGACAGCTATTTCAAAGCCAATGACAACTAATAAAAGAAATCATGTATCAGTGTATCTGAGACTAATAAAATGGTGATATTTGTTAACTATCTATAATTTGTCACGCTTCGTCGGTTTCTTTTTACACTTTATGTTGACATGCTTCACTGGTTTGTATTTTACAAGTTTACACAATGCAAAATCTAGCAGTAAACGTGCAAGATTTTAATAAAACAAATCAGAAACGTCTGTATTTCCTTTTCATGGTATATTTAGGTAAGTCTCAATTCGATGCGAAATCATTATTGGCAGTTATAGCAAAACAAATTAAGAAACACTTTAAAAATTCCATACGTCCGAGGCGCTTTTCTTGATTTACCTTCATCAGGAACTCTCAAAGCTCAATTATATCAGAAAGCCAAGGATGAATAAGAATCGAAACAGTTGAAGAGCTTTTGACCAAAATGCATTCAATGTATTGTAAATGAATCAAGTACATTTCATCGCTTTGTTCTATTTCAATACGGAAGTAAAACGTTTAATATTATGATTATTACCGGTAACATATGCCACCTTTTCTTCTACCTGTTTAATTGCATTCTCAATGGTTACATTAAGCTTTCTTGTATAATATTGCATTGGATTAAATGTCAGTGATTTGTAACTGCGATGGTAGTCACCTTCTATGTTTTTAAGTAAACAAGAATAGGTAGTATCTGCCACCGTTACATTTAGAAAATTGTTCATTTTTTTCAGTTCACTGACTGTGTTCTGCAAAAGTTCTTCATAAAAAACAACACATTTTGGTCCTTTAAACTGCAGCCATCCTAGATTGTTTCCACGCCACTGTTGAATATTTGTAATTGCAAAACCTTCAAATAACCCTGATAAATAGATAAAATTTGTTGATTGAAAATATATAAGCGTGTTAAGCAATTGTTGTATTAATAAAACAATTAATTAATTACGGCGTCATGGAATACACACTTATAAAAACAGTTTTCAAAAAAGATGATCGTAATTTGTTTTTCAATACCATTAATAATATAATTATCAGATTATGAGATAGAAGATTTGATCATTAAGACAGAACTCTTCAAAATGTAGTTGTATTCACATGCAACAGTTCAGTCAAATATGAAATAGTCGTAGATACGTATACAACAGAACACGGTATGTAATGATTCACAATGAATATGTTAAACTATAGAAAACAAGAATGTGTCCATAGTACACGGATGTCCACTTGCACTATCATTTTCTATGTTCAGTGGACCATGAAACCGTCAAAACTCTAATTTGGCATTAAAAGTAGAAAGATCATATCATAGGGAACATGTGTACTAAGTTTCAAGTTGATTGGACTTCAACTTCATCAAAAACTACCTTGACCAAAAACTTTAACCTGAAACACTTTAACCTGAAAAACTTTAACCTGAAAAACTTCAGACGGACGAACGGACGAACGGACGGACAGACCGAAAATCATTATGCCCATAAATGGGGCATAAAAAGCAAGAAAAAGCAAGAGAACAGGTTTTCTCCTATTTTGTAGTAAAAATGATATCCGATATTGAACATGTGTAGTTTTTATCCTTCAATTCAAAGTTTACGCTTCAGAATTTGGTTTTATCATTCATAACCATTGCTTTATGTTTGCCCAAAAATTCTACATTGTTTGAATGTAAACCATCAAAATGCACTGTAACGGTAATTTTGAATATTATCCGTTTGTTCCTTATGTAAACAACACATCAGCAGACGATATTTGCATACCTAACAAACATTACTAACTTTTATTTGTGCAGTCAATTTCCGATATAAATATGCGTCCATTGATTGAAGATATCAAAACCATCAGTGAGAAAGCATTTATTAAATGAGTTACGTTTGGTTGTGAATTTTTAAACATTTTGACCTTAATCACCATTTTCATACAAGTGAGAGGTTTAGCTAGCTATAAAACCAGGTTTAACCCATCATTTTCTTCGGAAAATTCCCGTACCAAGTCAGGAATATGATAGTTCCTTTCAACACGTTCCAATGATAAATAACTTTTGATTTTGTCAGTTTTTACAACGCTTAATGAACTTCCCCTTTTTAAAATTACCTGGAGTTCGGTATTTTTTGTAATACTTTTTTGCAAAGACATTATTATCCAAATGAAAATCTGGTGTGCCGTAATATTGGTACCGTTCAACGTTATTATTACCAGTTGGTCGATATCTCCTGGTGGACTAATGGTCCCCGAGGTTTGTACCAGTCAAGTAGCGTAATGCTTAAGTACTGGCATGTAAAAAGTGACACTGTTCCATTGAAATCTCATGCTATAAACTTGGGAAAAGTAAATTTAAATAGGGAAAGTATTGCCCTCGTACATAGCTCTGATTTTTTCCCCGATTTGACTTTACTTTTTCGTTACATGACCTCTTTCGCGCCTATGATTAGGTTTGTGATTTTCAAATATTTTGGCCCTATCATCACTGAAGAAATGCTCATCTGGCATAAGTGTTACCATATGATGTTATTTTGCATATGTTGTGTATATTGATTTTCAAATTTTTGTCAATATAACAGAACTATAAAAAACTGCCATATAAGTGGGAGATTTATCTAGCTATAAAAACAGGTTTATCCCACCATCTTTTTCGAAAAAAAAACTGTTCCAGGTCAGGAATATGACAGTTGTTTTCCACACGTTTTGTTGATTGATAACATTTGATTTTGTCAGTTTAATGGACTTCCCCTCTATGAATTTACCTTGGAGTTCGGTGTTTTTGTTATACTTTTTCTCTGAAATTAATAAAGTGGTTGAAATTTGAGTCTTAATGTTTTTTCGACTGTTTTTAATATAACAGTTAAATAAAACAAAAACAGACTTTTGATATCAGGAGACGACATTTCTGTTTTACTTAATCTTTTGTTTATAGATCGATTGAAATTTATAACCATAATTCATGTCAGTGAGATAAAAAGGTCGGATTCACTGCAGGATAAGCAGCTTTGTCTTTTTGTCGTGTTTTCTGATTGATAAAGATTTCTTCCTTGTTTTTTAATTTTCCGTGTTTTTTCTTTCTCTCTTCTAAAGCTGTAATTTAAGTAAATGAGTAGAGGAAACCAATTTTTACGATGTTGTTATGTAATTAGAATACTTACTTTCAAAGTCATCCTTTGAAGCAAATCCTGTTTGGTTGTGTCCCCTTGAGTATCTATAATTGAAAAATGAAATAATAGATCTGTAAGGACTTCGAATTAAAACTATGGCTTTTTCAAATTTAACCCTGTTGTTTCCTTCGTGTGATTTTATCACAATTACATCCTTAACATGACATTCACCAATGAAAACTGGTATAAGGCTTGTTGCACAGTAAACAGATCCGGTAGCGACACCTACAAAGTGGAAAATATACAACCTTTATTCATTAATAATATGACTGGTCAGATTTAGTTCAATAGGTTCAATTGCAACCAAACAACTTTTACTTTGTTGTTTCATTGTAAACATTTGGAAAGGATTTTTTTAACAAACAAAAACTGGACAATAAAACCCCTTAACATGTTAAAAGCAATCTGATTGCCTGTGAATACAACATAACGAGTAAAAGTGAGACGCTCCTTTAACACTGTTAAAAAACATTATTCCTATCAAAATAATGTCGAACAAAAGGCGTGTTGGTAATACAAATGTATATCGTTTGAAAAATTTGTAAAAGAAAAACGAAATATAGAAGTGGATAGAAACGTTTGAACGATCATATTTGTTCATATCTATAAAAATACGGAGATGTGGTATGATTGCCAATGAGACAACTATCCACCAAAGTTCAAATAAAGTGGATGTAAGCAAATATAGGCAACCGTACGGCCTTCAACAATAAGAAAAACCTATACCGTATAGTCGGCTATTAAAGGCCCCGACATAAAAAATGTGAAAAATTTCAATTGAGAAAACTAACGGCCTAATTTATAACAAAACAATTTAAGAAAAACAAATATGACAGACATGAACCAACGACAACCACTGAACTGCAGGCTCCTGACTTGGGATAGGCACATAAAAAATGTGGCGGGGTTGACCATGTTTGTGAGCGCTCAATCCTCCCCTAACCGGTTACAGTGGTGTAACAGCACAACATAAGAACAAACTATAAAAATCACTTGAAAAAGGCTGAACTCATCATACATTATTTACAATATGTCCTTAGCAAATTGAAAATTAAAAGTGTTAGTTTTGTTTTTCTAATCATAGAATATATATTTATTCATTCTATACTTAGTTGTAAATTCAAGTAAATTGTATGTGTAATACACTCAATGGCAATCGTGCTGTATCAGCCATCCGTGATAATATCGATATCAGTGACGATTGAAAAGGCTTTATCAAACCCCGTATCTGTATGACGTCACGTAATCGATATCAGTCACGGTTACAAAGGCTTTATCAAACCCCTAATATGTATTATGAAAAACATATCAATTAGTTAAAAATTTTTCAATAGCACACACCGTATCAACCCTCAACCAATTTAATTCTTCGAGCAGAGCTCTTGGGATAATATTGGTGTCTCGGGTTGATACAGGTGTGATATTGAAAAAGCCATATCATATTCTCTATTGATCAACTTTGTTTTTTTCATTTAGCAAAATCAATAACTTTAAGTTTCTGATATGCCTCAATTCTACAAGGAATTTGGATGATCAATTGGAGATTCACGCTTATCTCTATTTCAAGATTGAGACGATTGTAATTTAAGAACAGATATGTTGGCATGATACGGGTTATGTTCTTTTAATTGAGGTCTGGAGCTGTCATGTCAGTAACTGCTAGTAGTCCTTTGTTAATTTATGTATCATTGTTATTTTGCTTAGTTTCTTCTGTTGCCTATTCTGACATGAGACTCTGACTTCTTTTAACCCTAAGGGTGCCACGGCTTTGTTTTTTTTTGTTTTTTTTTTGTTTTTTTTTTTTTGTTAAGATACCGTTGAGTGCCATGGGATAGGCCCTAGATTTGAAATTTGAACGGATAAAAGTCATAAAAGAAGCGTAACAATGCACAACGCCATGCAATTGTTTCCGTTTGGAAACAGTTCTGTTTCGCGTCAGTTAGTTTCTTTGTATAATAGGTACGTAAATGGGCAATCTAACGGGTTTTTATGAAATTTTGCAGGCAAATTGTTTTAGAGGGTCTGGATGGGGGATCTTTCATTTACTTCATATATTTTCTGTATTCTTTATTTTTTTTAGATAATTTGTCTTCTCTATTCTTTATATTTGTTTGCCCATTATTCTCTATTCTTTATATTTTAGCACCCCATTATTCTCTATTCTTTATATTTTAGCGCCCCATTATTCTCTATTCTTTATTTTTTTGTCCATTTTTCTCTATTCTTTAATTTTTTCGCCCACTATTCTCTATTCTATAAACCCCCATCCAGACCCTCATCTTATAGAACCGCAAATTATTATTCAAAAAGTATGCAAGTAAATTTTAGACTTTCAGAGATAAAGGAATATGAATATTCTATAAAACGGAGTACAAATATGTATATTAGAATGCACGTAAATACCGCAAACACTGTTTAATAATTTGTTTTTAAATTGACTTTTCTTTGAAACGTTCACTGCGAATTTTCTTTTTTAAATTATATTTCATTGTCACTAAAATTTCCGTTATATTGATATAGAATTTACAGGGGGCTACCAAATTCATTTTTATTGTACGCATCCTGAAATGTACATGTTTTATCTAAAAACATGATTTTGCCATAACGTTTTCAGTTTCTCTTTGGACTTATAAGTTTTGAGTGTCCCTTTGGTAACTTCTGCATCTTTTTTAGGTCAAAGTTGATGAACTTTTTTTGCGATATTTACATGTAGTCTCTATACTTTCGTAACTCAGATTTCCGGATATTTAATTTGCTTAACATATCGGAAAGTAAACAGGTACATATATAAATATATCATTTTTCGATACTGATTAGTGTCTGCCTGTTGCCTCTGACCTTGTGCATCTAATCAACATGTTATCTTGATGAATAAAATATATGCCTCTCGACATTTAGTAGCCAATAATCAAGTAGTTAATCCATAATTTCACAAACGTGTGTACTTTGGATAGACTTTCATTTAATGTAAATTTTTACGTTTTTTCTTTTGTCCATTTTTTTTTTTTTTTTTTTAATTTTTTTTTTTAAACGCTGAATGTCAAGATCAGAATTAGATTGTCCGTTTCAATGTTATGATAATACTTTTTTCAGGTTTGAGCGAAATTTCCATTGCAGTAACAGTCGTCGTCATTTTGGTTTATTCCTCACGGTTCTCACAAGTTTTTTTTTTAAATTTAAGTGTTTTGCAATAAGTATTCGTCATTTACAATCTTTTGCGAAATCTTTCAAATGATAACACATTAAAAGAAAAATATTTTGAACGCTGGTAAAATGTATGCTTATATTTTAACAACCTATCATCCTATATGAGTTGAAGTCACAATATTTGTCTGTTTGGTCACAACTTTGTTCTTCCTTTGTTTTGTTTTGTTTTATCCTGATTTTATCATGCATCATTATATACTTTTTTGTACAATTCAATTTGGTTGAACTATATATATAGCAAATTTCCTGACAAAAATAATATTTGTGTTTATATCATCAGAAGAGGAAAAACGCTTCTAAAAATATAACCAAATAAGCAAATAAATCTATGACAATTCTGGTTTTATTGGTACCAAGTTGATTAAATTCCAGCCAGAATTGACCTCACATTTTTGTTTTGAAAATACGAAGTATTATGGGAAATATATGACAAAAACTGTAGGTGACGAATATTCAATGTATAACACTGTAGACGTTATCGGAGCATAACTTTGACTCACTTTATCTGTGTGCTAATTTGTCTGTAAGTAAGTTTGTTTTATTTAGATGTTGAGAGTATAACTTCATATGCATTCAGTAAAGTTTCATGAAAACAGAAAAACCAGAGAAATTTATAGAATTCAAGTTTAGTCATTGAACACACATTTCAATAGTTGATACGGGTAATTTTTTAAAAGTTACTAATGTTTATTTGAGTATTCCTCAACAAAATATAAACACTACATAATTGAACATAAAGAATTTCATATACATGTACCAACCTAACAGGTGCTCATGCTTGCCAAAAGTTAACGTAAAAACAGAGAAATTCTTCCAACATGTTTGTTAGTCGCTCAAATACTTTCGTCAACTCTAAAGAGAACAGTGAATAAAAATAAACTGTTGGCAACGAATTTATATCTAGCATTCTTATTGGTCCCCTCTGGTTGATATTGAAATGTGGTTCTTCATCTTCTGGTGGCACAACCCCAAATCACAGAGTTGGAATAGAGTTGACGCCGGCCATCTTCCAAATCCCAAACTCTAGTATTATGACGTATTGTTTATTATTATGTAACGTCAAAATTCCGTTGGCCTTTGGGCCTCATCCGTGGCACTCAAAGGTAGTGTTTTCGAATAGGATAGGTGCCCCCCACCCCCCCCCCCCCCCCCATAGGCCGTAGAGAAAATGTTAAGCTGAGTTTTACTGACAGTGTGTGTTTGTTTATTCTACATTGGCTAGAGGTATAGGGGGAGGGTTGAGATCTCACAAAACATGTTTAACCCCGCCGCATTTTTGCGCCTGTCCCAAGTCAGGAGTCTCTTGTCTTTGTTAGTCTTGTATGTTTTTTTTTATTTTAGTTCATTTATATGTTTCGGAGTTTAGTGTGACGTCTATTTTCACTTACCTAGTACACATTTTTGTTTAGATGCCAGCTAAAGCCCACCTCCGGGTGTGGGATTTTCTCGCTGTGTTGAAGACCCTTGGGTGGCTTTGGGCTGTTTTTTGTTCTCTGGTCGGGTTGTTGTCTCTTTGACACATTTCCCATTTCCATTCTCAATTTTATATATGTTTTTAGCAAAGAAGTGAAATCAAATGTATTTAGTTGCGACGTCACCATGGTTATGTAAAGCCCCATTTACGCATTTTCTTAAAATAACTCATAGATTTCTTGTAATTGGTTGATAGGTTTTTCGCCCGCAAATATATGCAAATAGCAATAAATAATGTATCACTGGGTTTGTCTGCGCGATCAACACCTCTCATGTCAAAACGTGTGTGGTACTTGCATATCCTCAATATTTTCATTCACAAATGCTTGTCAAAATTACTCAATGTTTGTCAGTTCTGTAAAAGTTGAATTTATGACAATTCTAGCCGTAATATTTTTGTGAATATTCATAATTTTGAAAGATCTTCTAATTTTAAACAAACTTAACAACTATCTGCATGCAGAATCACATGACTTATTTATGCTTTATTTTTTTTATCAAATGTGACCTTAAGTTCTCCTTCAGTTGTCTGATTTAATGACTTAATATTGATATTGCACTCTAAAACAATATGCCATATGTCTCAAACGTTTGACGAGAGAGAGAGAGAGAGAGAGAGAGAGAGAGAGTATTTACCACTGGTATATTCTATAAGGTGCCTTGTCCATGTGTTGCCTGAACCTGGAAAACTAAACAATGCTGTCACAGGCCTTTTTTCCTTAGACATCTTTATTGTCGTTTGACTACAATTCATTTCTGTTGGATGCTTTATCCACATAGCGTTTCCTGGGATACGAAAACATTGTTGCCAGTTCTTTCTAATAAGTAAATTCTTTATTAGTTTATGTGTTTTCAATTTCAAATATACAATCGAATCAACCAGTATGCTTCATGTACTTTAAACATGAAAAAAAAATAGAAACTATCGAAATTTGAACACCTCAATACTTTCTCTTTGAATACATAAAGATCAAGTTGATGTTGCTGGTAGAAGCATTTTTTCTGTAGGCTTATGATACTTTACTGTAGTATAACATATCTGTAGATATGCCAACTTCTCATTGTTGAAGACCGTACGGTTGCCTATAATTGCTTACATCCACTTCATTTGAACTTGGGTATATAGTTGTCTTATTGCCAATCATATTACATCTCCTTATTTTCATATTCATTTAAGGTTTTCTGTCTATGAAGAAATAACATCAAAAAATTGGTGCACACTGAATAAACCGTGGGGAATCAAAATTATCTCTCTTGTCGTAAAATTTAGTTTTCAATCAATCCGCATTGTCAATTTCTAGATGTAAGTCAAAATATTAGTCAGACTTTACTGTACATGTAGCTGTGATATCCTTTGTATCAAGCATTTGGGATAGATGAGTCAATATAATCAATATAGTCACCAAACTTTGTATTATTCAGTAAAAGGAAATTGTCTATGTAGCAGAAAGTAAAGTTAAAAGATAATGCCAGCTATTTTTGTAAAGCAGAGAAGCACAGTTGGCTCCCATAGGAGAGTTAAATTTCTGTTGAAAAGTACGTCATCCTGACGTAGCAAATATATATGTAGATTTCAAGTCATCTCGAGGTAAATAAAAATTTAATTTATCGTGGAACAATGGTCAGCGTACTTAACTTAATACGTAAAACATGACGAGGACAGAAAGGCCATAAAAACAATATACTTATTCCTGTAATACAAATATAGTATAAATAATTTCGTTGATATTTGATTTCTTGGTTTTGCAAAGGTCTGCACATAGACATATAAAAAATTTATACTTTGTTGAACATTTAAATTCGTGCTTTATCTTTACCCACGATATCCACGAAAAGACAAATTATCCAGCGAATAATAATAAATCTACATTAGTTATTTTCTATTTTCTCTTGGTTTCTATATTCAAATGGATGTAGAGCTTTTGGAAATAGGTAACTTTTGCCTCTTGCATTTAAGTAAAAATTTTAAGTGTTTTGATTTGTTGGTTTAACTTAGGCGAATGACAATTCAGGTCTTGTTGGACTGTACCAAAAAAAACTGACCAGCATTTGAAATGATAAGCTCCGAACTTCTTTCATGTATAGGAGTTGAGGAGTAGTTTAAATGTTCAGCGTGTACATGTACGAATAGCATATCCCAGCATTCGTTGGGTATTTGATAGGGACTTTTGGTGGACCTGAAGTCGAATAATCTTCCTGATTCTTATCGGTCTGAGGATTGCAAATAGTAATGGGACATTTATTGCAGACAAATCGTTTACTTATCTATCTATAAAATTTATTTGATTTTATTTCTATTTTTATCTAAGAGGATCGGGACAAAATTAACCTAACAAAATTATATTATGTCCAGTAGAAGTGAATCAACCAGAAAAGAGAAAATGCAGAGTTGCTGAATATATCTGCGATGACCTTGTATTTAAAATAGTCAAGAAACGTCATTTAACTTTTCCGAGTGTTGTAATGCAATGTTTAGAAAATTTTTGAGCAATGAGAAACCATTATTTTGAAAGTAAAAAATATCATCTTTTAGATAAGTATGTTGAAATATGATTTTAATGTGTTTGTTGGAAACTGAGCAATGAAAGTCAACTCATGAAAATGTCAGAAGATAATAAATGAACCAAGTAATACTAATTAATAATGGGCGATAAATTTACCATTTATTTTGCTTGCAATGAGAACATGTATTAGATACAATACAAAGGTAACAAAGGAACAGGCCGGTAACAAGCGTTGCCGGATAGTTTTTCTGCACGAGTAGTCAGGTGAAGGTCCGAGGCGATAGCCGAGGACCTTGACCTGACTACAAGTGCAGAAAAACTATACGGCAGTTTGTTTCCGGCCTGGTTTTTTTACCTTTGTTTTGTATCTGACTTGTACGACGTTTCAAGAAAGAAGTAGTACATTTTGCATTTAGAAGAGGTAGCATAATTAAACAGATTAGAAACTAAAATGATCATATACAAGTTAGTGTAAGTTACAGTTGAAACAAACTTTTTTTTCACTTTCCTTCAGCCGAGAGTTTTTTTTCTCAAGAAATTCAAAAATCTAATAATTTTATAAAAAAGAACCATATCAAGTAAAAGATGAATGTCGTACACATTTGAGACTTTTTAAAATGCAACTTCGCAAGTAAGTAATGTATGAAAAAGATTTAAGAGGCAGGAAGCTAACATTTGATTTTATTTGGGGAAAAACGGAAAGAGGGGGGGGGGCAAACATTTAAAATAACAGGCTTGATCCTTTTTTGTTGAAAAAATGCAGGATGTGCCATTCAATTCCCCATTCCCCCTTAAAAAATAATAAAAATCGTCCGTTTGCTCCATATATGAATTCAATATATATGATTTCAATAACAATATAAATGTATAAAAAGAACGAATTTCTTATTTCATTAATGAAAGAAATGTTATGAAAAAATAGATTTTGGCTTGTTATTCGATATATATAGGCATATATTTTGTTTTTTTTTAAATTTCATGCTTGTAGGTCTCTAATAGTATTGATCAGGATTAAACACGTGTCACAATATGATCCAATCGCAGCTTACCGTCCAAAATTGGTGACATAAGTTAAAAGATTTTCTTCAAGATTTGCTGCCTATTTGAACATGTATTTCACGGACACTTTTTATTTATAGGATCAATCGTGCATTGGTGAGTTGATATGGATTTTATCTTTTGATTAGATTTGATTTTTTTATATATATTTCCTGTCTTTTATATGGAAATATAAATGTCGGTACCAGCATTTCTTTACTTTCAGCATTGCCCAGAATACTATTCATGTCCATATATTGAAAACATACATTTACGGATCGACCATTTAGCTTCAAAAGGGGGTATGGTTTTTTTTTCTGAGTAAGAAAATTATTTACTTTTTCAACGCTATCACCAAATATTTTTTTCGAAATTAGCACTATAATAAACTGTTTTCGGAAAATCAGGAATCAGAACATTATTTTGTCATCTGCTTGACCACACTAAATTTTTTCTCATAAAATTGGGGATCAGAATTTTTTTTTTTGGAAAAAACCATACCCCCCCCCCCCCCACCCCCCTTTTGAAGTGAAATGGTCAATTCCGTAGTGTACTGATATGAATAGTAATATACTGGAATTGTTTGAAAAAAATATAGTTATTTGATGCCAACGTAAATATTTTAATAAAAAAGACAGAAAATATGTCGGTGAAACAAAAAGTTCAAATCTAATTGAAATTTAAAGTACCCATGAACTCACTGATCATGCACGAGTGATTCTATTCATAAAAAAGTGTCCGTGTAACAACTAAAAAGTGTCCGTGTATCATCTATAAAGTGTCCGTGTAACACCCGTTAATGTACTGTTTTTCTGTAGCTCTGCTGGGGGCAAAGTCGTACAATTAATAAAAGTTTTAAATGGAACGATACTTCTTACTTTTATTTTCCCCCTTTTTACATCAATCAGAAGCACAAAATTAAAATTAACCTAGCTACGTGTATATATTGCAAAAAACTATTTACACAATTTAATGTTTGCTTGTATCGGCACTATTCTTAATAGACACTATTGAATCAGAACAAAGTTTAGACTATTAACGTCAATAAAAGTATCAAATACATAAATTCACACATACATGTGCACTGTGAAGACATTTATCTAAACCAATTATAATGTTATTCTTGAATGTTTGCATTTGTCAAATTTCTGCAATACCAGGTTGCATTTTCCAATATAATATAGCCTTTAAATTTAATGTGGTTCACCAACCATTGAATTAATTCATACAGCATTTAAATTCATTAAAGTGATGTGTATATTTAACTTAAAAATACTACCACAAAAAGTGATGTATATATGTTCCAAACCATATGAGGATTTGGACCATACGCGTATGGTCATGACTAAAAGCGTATACTCATATGGTCCGACCATACGCGTATGGTCGGACCATATGAGTATTATACTTGTTTGGTTATTAACGGGCCGGACCATATATGAGTATTTAGACTATATAGGTATTTTTCGAATAATTCTATCTTCCTTTGCAGAAACACACATCTCATTCTATGAACTGAAAACAGCACAAATTATTATCTGAATTCTTTTATCCTTAACATATTGTCTGACTATTGGGGTATCTGTTATCTTTTATTTGCTTGGAGTCAATTCAAATCGCCTTTATACTGCCGATATTCGCCCCTAAGTGACACCACATGCAGTAGGGGCATGGGTCTTTTTTTCTGTTTTCTTAGTTTTTAAATTGTTATTTCTGCTTATTTTTTTTTTAAACTATGTATTCTTGCTCCTATTAATATGATCTTACTGTCATTGTAAGATCGTATATATAGGATCAAGACAAATGAACAAATTGACTAAAAACATTTAGAAATTTTAAAGAAATTATGATTATTAAAAACAAATTTAAACATCAAAAGAAATTTAAAAAAAAAGAGTGTTCAGTGACCAAAGTGCATGTGAGTTAAGCAATTTACTTATTGTTTTACAGTTCATTTGGATATTTCTTGAAGTAATTTTCCAAAGTCGACAGATTGCGATTCGTATGGATAAATTGATAATCGCCATTTAAATATTATTTCACTATGATTTTTTCTTCATGTAATATTCACTTTATTAAATTAATCATGTAACAATGGCTACAATATGATTGAATACGTCAAAATTTAATTTTTGAGAAACTCTTAATTTATGTTGTACAACTTTTTAACGTTGATCGTGTTAATTACCCGGAGCGTATGGTCGGACCATATGAGTATATACGCAGATGGTCATGACCATACGCGTATGGTCCAAATACTCATATGGTC